ACCGCCGTCAGCAGGCTATCTCAACAGGTATCTTCTACTGTGTGGCTCCGCCTTCATCGCCTTTTAGTTTCTGAACGGTCACCGCCTTTATTAACATATCTGCTGGATTCTTACTTCCTGAAATATTCTCTAGTTTTAACACGTCATCTTCCAACAGGGATCTGATGAAGTGGTACCGGAGCCCAATATGCTTCGTTCTAGAATAAAATGTGAAATTCTTAGCCAAGTGGATCGCACTCTGACTATCGTTATGCAGAACATTCTTCTCCTGTTTGAATCTCAGCTCTGTTAACAAACCCTGAAGCCATATCATCTCTTTACTGGCTTTAGTCACTGCAACATACTCAGTTTCTGTAATGGACAAAATGATAATATTATGTATTTGTGACATCCAACTAACAGCTATAGTTCTAACAGTGAATACATAGCCGGCGGTGCTTCTTCGGTAATCGACTTCACCTCCAAAGTCTGCATCTATGTACCTATGCACTTTCACCTCTCCCTTACCAAAGTGCAAACACTTATGTGTGGTGCCTTGTAGATATCTCATGATCCACTTGACCGCTTCCCAATGAGCTTTTCCTGGATTCTACATGAACCGGCTGACCACTCCCACTGCACGGCCAACGTCTAGTCTCGTACAGACCATTGCATACATCAAGCTTCCAATGGCTGAGGCGTAAGGAACCTTAGTCGTACTCTCTTTCTCTTCTTCTGACTGAGGAGACTGATCCTTTGACAGGCGAAAGTGACTGGCCAATGGTGTGCTCACTGGTTTGGCATTGCCCATATTAAATCTCTGCAAAATACGGTTGATGTACTTCGTTTGAGATAACTGTAAAGAGGTCTCTCTTCTTATCTCTCGTGATTTACATTCCAAGAATCTTCTTTGCTGGACTCAAGTCCTTCATGTCAAACTCCTTTGACAGCTGCTGCTTCAAACTCCTGATATCATTCATATCTGCGCATGTAACTAACATATCATCAACATACAACAGTAAGATGATATAACTGGACTGATATCTTTTGAAGTAGCAACAGTGATCGGCGTTGCACTTCTAGAAATCTTGTACATGAAGCCGTCAAACTTCCTGTACTACTGTCTTGGGGCTTGTTTCAGGCCATACAAGCTCTTCTTGAGTCTGCACACCAGGTTCTTCTTCTTTTCTTCTGAGAAACCTTCTAGCTGGTGCATGTATATCTCCTCTTCTAGATCTCCGTGAAGAAACACCATCTTCACGTCCAACTGCTCGAGATGAAGATCTTCAACTGCTACAATACTCATCACTGTCCTGATAGTATTTAGCTTCACCACGGGAGTAAAAACATCGGTGTAGTTAATTCCTTCTTTCTGTTGGAATCCTTTGACAACTAATCGGACTTTATATCTTTTGGAGCCATCCTGCTCCTCTTTCACCCGGTACACCCATTTGTTGTGGAGTGCTTTTTTCCCATGGGCAACTCATAGCTAGTTCCCATGTCTGGTTTGAGATGAGAGACTTCATCTCATCTTTCATGACAAGCTCCCACTTGCTCGCATCTCCACCCTGACAAGCTTCATCATAGCTTTTAGGCTCCCCTCCATCTGTCAGCAACAGGAGGATGAGAAGATCTTCTCAACATCGGAGCTGATGCGTTGGGCTCCTGCGTACCGTTCTGTCCAACAGGCTCTTCTGGCTGAGGACCTTCTGCATTGGGTTCTTCCGATAGATTACTCGGGACATCATCTGTATCTACAAATATTGACTCACTCTCTGAATCATCTGTCTTATGCATGTCCTTGTACATCACCTTCTCGTTGAATATCACATCTCTGCTGCGGATCACTTTCTTGTTTTAGTTGTCCCAAATGCGGTAGCCGAACTCATCTTCACCATAGCCGATGAAAGTGCATTTCTTGGACTTGGGATCAAGCTTATTCCTGCCTTAATCACTAATATGCACATAAGCTACACAACCAAAAACTTTAAAATGTAAAAGTTTTACCTCATTTCCGCACAATACCTCTTCTAGTATTCTGTGCTCCAATAAAACCGATGGACCTCGATTGATCAAATAAGCTGATGTGTTGACTGCTTCTGCCCAGAACTACTTTGGTAGGTCTGACTGTATCCGAATGCTTCTGGCTCTCTCTGTCAGCGTTCGGTTCATCCGCTCAGCTACACCATTTTGTTGAGGCGTGTCGAGCACGATTCTCTCCATTCTAATCCCGTGCTCATAGCAAAACTTCTTAAATCCGATGTCTTCATACTCACCGTCATTGTCGGTCCTGAGCTTCTTTATTCTCAGACCGGTCTTATTCTCGACCATGGCTTTCCATCTCCTGAAAGCCTCAAATACTTCTGACTTATGCTTCAGAAAGTAGACTCACACTTTCCGAGAGTGATCATCGATAAAAGTCACGAAGTAGTGTTTCCCACTAATGGACACGTTGGTGGTTGATCCCTAAACATCTAAGTGAATGAGCTCAAGCATCTCCTTCCTGGGCGTTCTGCCACTTGTTTGAAAGCTGACTCTCTTCTGCTTTCCAAGTATGCATTCTTCACAAATGTCCATCTCCACTGACTGCAGTCCTGGGATTTTTCCCTTTGTGTGCATGATTTTCATCCCCTTCTCACTCATATGACCGAGTCTCTGATGTCACAACTTTGAAGTCTCATTGCCTGCTGCAACTGAGATCAAACAACGTGCACCTGCTGTCATATACAGGGTACTAATCTTCTTGTCTCAGCAATCGTCATTGCGCCTTTTGAGATCTTCCAATCATCATCATGAAAGGTCGTAGTGTATCATTCGTCAGCCAACTGGCCTACGGATATTAAGTTCTTTCTCAGTTCGGGAATATGTCTAACATCCTTCAGCTCTCATACTGACTCGTTCAACTTAATTTTCACTACACATTTGCCCGCAATAGCACACAGTTGATCATCACCAAGGTATACGTATCCAAGATTTCCGGGAACATACTTCTCGAAGAATTCTTTCTGAGAAGTAGCATGGAACGACGCTCCTGAATCTAACACCCAAGAGTCCTCCTTGCTCTCCAAAGAGCATATCAATGCGTCGTCTCCTCCTGAGGTGGAAGTAACATTCACCTCTGCCTTCGCCTCCTTCTCCTTCTGTGCACTCTTGCATTGATTCTTATAATGCTCAGTCTTTCCATAATTTCAACACTCGATAGCCTTTGAGCTGTTGCTCGGATTCCTTGACTTGGACCTCCTGTCATTTGATCTATCTATGTAGTTTGATTTGCCTTGTCTGTTCCCTCTGGTTGAATTTCTACCTCTTGACTCTGTATGCAATACTAAAGAGGTTGTACCTTCACCCGACTCTCTCCGTCGGATCTCCTCACTGAGAACCAGATCACGAACGTCGTCGAACTTCAACTTGTTGCCTCCCAATGAGCTACTCACAGCCGTGACTGTAGCGTTCCAGTTTTCTGATAGGGAAGACAAAAGTATCAACGCCCGAACTTTCTCATCAAACTCAATTTCAACTGAACTCAATTAGGTTGTGATCGTGTTGAGTTCATTGAGGTGACGCGCCTTCCGCCATTCTCAGATTGAATAACCGTCGCATCAAATAAACTTTGTTCGCGACTGATGACTTCTCATACATGTATTTGAGAGTACCGCCATAAGACCCGCCGTGATCTTCTCCTTCGCTATGTTGAACGCAACATTACGGGTAAACGTCAATATGATAACATCGAGGGCTTGTCTGTCTAGAAGGTTCCACTCACCCTCCTTCATAGACTCCGACTTCTTCCCCGAAAGTGATTGATACAGATTTTTCTGATACAGATAATCCTCTATCTGTATTTTTCAGAATCCAAAATTTATTCCATCAAACTTCTCAAGTCTCACTTTTCCTTCATATGCGACCATGGCTCCCACTTGAATCTGACTTCCTCTAGATCGTTTCATGCTCTGATACCAGTTGTTGAGAATTTACACCGAAAACTCCTAAAATAGCTGGAAAACGTAGTATACAAAAAATACACCAAGATTTAACGAGGTTCGGCAACTACCTACGTCCTCGGGAGCCACACAATTAATTTTTTATTAATCAACAAGAAATTACAATACAAAAGCATATCTCAAACTTGAGATCTCTCACTAAATACAAGTTTGTTACTGTAGCTACAATAATAACCCTCTTTAATTCTCTTCTTAACCCTCTTTAATTTTCTTCTTAATTCTCCCCTCAATCTCAGAGCTCTGGAGAAAAAAGAAAAAAAGGCACAACGAAAAAAAATCACCACCGCTGAAAATAAACGAGGAGATGAAGCCCACACTGCAAGATCTCGGCTCTGGGTTTCCCTTTTATAGGGAAACCCTGGCGTTGAGCCCACTCGACAGGCTGTCGATAGCCTGGGAGAAGCTCGCCAGCTTGCCTCGAGCTCCGCCTGTCTTGGATCGACCCCGCCTGCCAGCCCGCTCGCTCGCCTACAACGCCCCCCAAGCTCGGCCTGTAAGGTCTCCAGCTCGCCTGCGGAGATCTCGAAGGCTCGCCGGCTAGAGCTCGCCCTCGCCTAAGCTTTGTCCTCCACTGGAGAAGCTCGCCTGCATGTGAGTTTAGGCTACACACCTAGATCCAACATGAAGTGCTGTGACTAGTTTCTAATGAACCGTCCTAGGTCGTGAGGAAAAGATGAAAAGTACCGAACAAATTATTATCATCACAGCCATACCAGATCGTGCATAATTGTGTTGAGTGATTAAGCAATTGAGAAGTAAACATCATTATGAATGAATACAAGCTTCATGTTGATATTCAACGGACCCTAACAATTAGGACGGACATCATACAATGATTAGTAGTAGCACCAAATGCTTAAGATGTTGAATAGCATTATTATGATCAATGTATAATACCGGTTCATGTTTTCGGTCTTTGCATTGTCTCTCCCTTGGTAGATCAATCTGCATTGATGGATGTGTGCATGCAAGTATTCATGTGTATGTGTAATCAAGAAGACCGATAAAGAGAGAGATATATATACCATCTGACCTTGTTTTATTGCAGCATCATTGTTACATAGAAGTAGAAGAAAGGAGAAGAAAGAACCAGAAAATCAGATGAAAATTATAAGAGTATATAAGTCATGTTTCAATGTGAGTACCATCGACTGGAAACATAACCTGGAGCAAATTCTTGATAGACTGCCTTTCCCCTCACCTTTCCTCAGAACAAACAGGCCAAATGCTAGTAGATAGAACAGGAATGCTGTACTCATCACATTTTGAATTACTGATATTATCTGCACAAGTTTCATCAAATTGCCTTTCCTCGTTATATGCTAACTTTGAACTCCAAATTTTTCCTAAAAAGTAATCCTTCCCAATCAGACTACAGGAAATATCTATATAAGAAATAAGGTGCATCCTTAAATGACCGAATCAAGCTCAAGATCCTCTGCTGCTGATGGAGCAGTTGCCAGTTGGTAACTTTATCTACATGTTTAACATGATTAAACTAGGTAAATAATATCCAATGTTCTAAATGCAGCATCAGAATGGTGAGAAGGAGAGCACCTTATGTAGACCTCGAGCATGGTACAAGTGATGAATTTCCTAATGCAGTATCCAGCTCAGGTTGTATCCATCAGTCACCTCTATATTTATGTGAGACTTTAATGCACATAAATCTGGGCTGCCCGAGAATTCATATCAATATTTGAAACCATAAGTGAAACGATCTCAATTATACGTATGGTTTCACCATTAGCACACTTGTTAGAGTATACTCTCGTATAAACGTCAACCTTCAGCATAACTTCAGAAATTTGGTATAGTAAAAGAAACCTCCAATATGGTATCAGCGATATACATTAAAACTGACTTTCAAAAATGTACTAGACAGTCCGGGCTTTAAACCCATGAAGATGGCTCTCAAGCTGCAGAGACATGTTAATAGTATAATATTATAACCATCAACCTTCACCACAATTCCAAAGTTTTGGTGCAGTGGAAGGGACCTTTTAACAGCCATATTTATCATCTAGTGCTGGAGACCTGCCTATCTTCCAAGTCATGACGAATTTTAGAATGTAAACTTGAACCCTCGGGAATTCCTAAAGGTGCACCAGTACACAAACAGTTATCTACCGTATAAAGCTCCCATTCCTTTATACTACACTTCTCCAAAGCCGAAATCACCCTCTGCCTTGACATTTCTGGTGGATATTTCCCATCTGGGCTAACAAGCACAGCCCCTGTGTATGAAAGCCCCCAGCTGCCGCAGCTGCTCCACTGTAATGAAACAAACCCCAGCTAAAATCATCTGCAACATCAATTATCGTCCAAAACTCCTTTGAAACTACACCATTATCCAGCACACTGAAATAAAATGTACCAGGAATATTTCCCCTCTTCACACGATATTTTCTCCGCCTCCAAATAAGCTTCCCTTCGAGGGTCTTTACTTGGAAAACTGGCTCGTACCAAAATGATCCTCTTGCTTTTCCCCTATAGAACAGTTGGTATTGACAAGGAAACTGATCATATGCAGGATTTTGCCCTGCTACTACCCGCCAGCTCCATTCCAAACTCCCTAACCAACCAACAAAGAGATCTTCTGCAATTTCATGGCTCAAGACCTCTCCCCTGTATATAGTTAGAGGAGATACTGAAGGCTTGCTTGGAATCTCAGCATCTAATTCAAGACAATTGTTCTTCTGCAAAACACATAGAGAGAAGGCCTCCAAATATGGACTCTCATAAGAAGCAATGCAGCGGTAGTTGCACACTTGATCTGTTGGCGAGCATGCATTTAAACATTGCAGTGCTTTCCTGCAGTTTGGATCAAATAAACAGTCCAATATCTCGGTCCTGCAATTTTTAAGCATACAACTGATAGTGGATAATCCCTTTGCCCTTAAGTTCTTGAGTGTCGGCACGGGTTTAATGTAAGAATTGATGATAACTAGTAAACAGAACCTAATATCATCAGTATTATGCCTCTTCCAAGCATCTGAGACAGTTTTGACAATGTCTGAAGATTCATTACCACTCCTCAGTTTTGCAACATCAGCTAATTTGCCGAATATATTCTGTCCTCGGTTTTCGATAAATTTTCCTCCAAGTTTATTGCTAAGAGATAGAGATGACTCGAAGCAGATAACATTTGGGATAGATTGACTGTTTTTCTGGAGCCATACAATTGATTTGTGATCATTAACTGCAACAATCACCAACATATCAGAATGGGCTAGTTCCATTTGGAGAATATCCAAATTATCATCAAACTTGATGGACTTGTCAGTAAAGACAAGCATTTCATATCCTTCATCCACCAATTTCAGCCTATTTGCCTACACAGGGTACAATAAAAGAAAGAATGGAATCAGATGCACTGGTTGAAAACTGTATTTATTTTCATTATATACATGAGATGTGTATTATCATCAAACTTGATGGACTTGTCAGTAAAGACGAGCATTTCATATCCTTCATCCACCCATTTCAGCCTATTTGCCTACACAGGGTACAATAAAAGAAAGAATGGAATCAGATGCACTGGTTGAAAACCATTTCAGCCTATTTGCCTACACAGGGTACAATAAAAGAAAGAATGGAATCAGATGCACTGGTTGAAAACTGTATTTATTTTCATTATATACATGAGATGTGTATTATCATCAAACTTGATGGACTTGTCAGTAAAGACGAGCATTTCATATCCTTCATCCACCCATTTCAGCCTATTTGCCTACACAGGGTACAATAAAAGAAAGAATGGAATCAGATGCACTGGTTGAAAACTGTATTTATTTTCATCATATACATGAGATGTGTATCATAGGAATGCAATAATTGAATTTAAAGCTTTTAAATGATGCCATACAATACTGAAAAAGGTAAAATTTTAGAAAAGCTTACAAAATAGAAATGGATAATTTATTAGTCCTGAAAAAATAAGTACATTAAAATAATTACATCTCTAGGATTTAGGTGGATGTCTATAATCCAAATGCGAAAATCAGATGCGCATCATGAGCTTAAACAACAGGCTCTCAGCAGTACAGAACCCCAAAATACCTTCAAGAAAGGGTGTGCAGTAGTTGTTGTGCTGAAAAGGACAAAAGAAGTCTTTTTTTTCTATTGTTACAATTTTGAAGCCAAATTCCTAGTCTCCTTATGCTACCAGCCTACCACCGTAGATGTCAAACCCTAAGGTAAAATGATTCCCGTTCTTATTCCTTTAAGATGGTGCTACTTGTTTAGGTGACGTGCTAGGTTGAAAAGAGCAGAGAATAGAAGAGCCCAAATTCCAAAGGAACAAATTCAAATCCGAAAAGAATGAGGGGCGAAGAGATTGGTCGAGAAAGATTTCTTGTTCTTATTAGATTAGAAGATTGTAATTTCGTCCGCATATTCATGCGGCCTGAAACGAAGCTGCTTTAGGGAACTTGCAGAAGTTCTTGCCATGAGTTCCCACTTCAAAAATATCCGGTTATGTGTGTAGATATGTAACTATGAATGTTTATATATAGAAAAATGAATATGAGGTCACTGAATGAGTTAGTGAACATAGACTAATCATGACACCCATCCCGCTAGTCACATCGAAGCAGGCTGACCTCATTACACTTTTTTAGCAGTGTTGATCTCATTACTCTTTTTTAGTACTAATGACATCATTAATCCTTTTCAGCAATGTTGACCTCATTACTCTTGTCACTTGACGACTCAATTTGCTAAATGCAATGTCACCTCATAACAGTATCTCCTATATGTGGAAAGCGAGTGTGCTGACAGGAACAAGTGTGTGGGCGGGGCTTGTGTGTGTGCAAACACTAAGCAACTTTCTTATGGCAGGAGCAAGACAGAGATGTGACTGAAATATGGACTACAGAAGGTATTCTCTTTTAGCCTTTCTCTCCTTCATTATTATCCATGTTATATGTTAAGTGTAAAATTATAACCCTCACCTTAACTTTGGATTTTATTTTATTTTCATTATTATCCATGTTATATGTTAAGAGTAAAATTATAACCCTCACCTTAACTTTGGATTTTATTTTATTTGTATTTACTTATTCTTTTGGGTAGCGGAAGGGACCTTTGACTTGATATAAGAACAACTCAGGTTCAAAGCCCACCAATTATGAATTTCAAGTGCACTCTAAAGATGGTACCCCTAAACTTTACATTCATTTGAACTTTGATACCCCAAAGTTCTCATTCACTTTGATATGCCAAAGTTTACATTTTTTTTCTTTTTTTATTGATGCCCTTCTTTTTTCTTTCTCTTTTTTTTATTACACTAGGATACCCCTGTTGGTCAAATATTCACGCACCGAAAGTCATCGAAAAATTGTGGTTGCCTTGTTTTTTGTCAACAAAATCAAGTCATCGAAGGAGCAAGAAAACAAAAAAGGGAAAGGATGAGCATCTTTTGTTGACAAAGAGAGAAAAGAAATGTGTATGAAGCATCCGAGAGAGAGTGCTGGGAATCAATCTAAGTGAGAGAAAAATCAGAGAGAGCACTGTAGGCAATAAAAATTGCCTTTAATCCTTATCAGAGAAGTTCAGAACAAAACTGCTAAAACCTCGCCCGAAATAGCAGAAAAAGGGGAAAACGCAGATATCTCCCAAACCGTAAGGAATTTGGCAAAACGGAGGAAGCGAACCGAAGCCTTCGGCTAGGTTCGGATGGCTCCATCTCGTCGAGATAGGCGATTTTCATATATAATTCGTCCAATTCCGACTTACGGTTTGAAAGTTACGGCCTATTCTTCAATCCATGCTCAGGAGCTCGCCTGCAGCTCAAATTCGCCTGCAGTCCCAAATCCGCCTGCAGACCCAAGTCTGCCTGCGCACCTGAGCTCGCCTGCAAACCCAGTTCGCCTGCTAGCTCGCCTGCAGACCCAAGTCCGCCTGCAGTCCCAAACTCACCTGCAGACCCAGTTCGCCTGCAAGCTCGCCTGCAGACCCAAGCTGCAGACTCGCCAGCTCACTGTCAACTGCCCACTTGGAGTATGGGAACAGTTACATCAGTGGTCAAATCCCACAAATCAAGGGAGAGGGCACAATACTCCAGGCCCGTCAGATGGCCGTCCACAGTACGAATGAGCGGACAGGCGCCGAAACAGCCTGCACCCGCCTGCAAGCTCGCCTGTAGACCCAAGTCTGCCTGCAGTCCTAAGCTCGCCTGCAGACCCAAGCTGCAGACTCGCTAGCTCACTGTCAACTGCCCACTTGGAGTACTTTGAGCCAGGTTCCCAGTTTCGGCGAACCGCTCAAATCAGGCGAGCTTAACAGTTGAGGCGAGCTCATCTCTTTGAGCCAGGTTCCCAGTTTCGGCGAACCGCTCAAATCAGGCGAGCTTAACAGTTGAGGCGAGCTCATCTCTTTGAGCCAGGTTCCCAGTTTCGGCGAACCGCTCAAATCAGGCGAGCTTAACAGTTGAGGCGAGCTCATCTCTTTGAGCCAGGTTCCCAGTTTCGGCGAACCGCTCAAATCAGGCGAGCTTAACAGTTGAGGCGAGCTCATCTCTTTGAGCCAGGTTCCCAGTTTCGGCGAACCGCTCAAATCAGGCGAGCTTAACAGTTGAGGCGAGCTCATCTCTTTGAGCCAGGTTCCCAGTTTCGGCGAACCGCTCAAATCAGGCGAGCTTAACAGTTGAGGCGAGCTCATCTCTTTGAGCCAGGTTCCCAGTTTCGGCGAACCGCTCAAATCAGGCGAGCTTAACAGTTGAGGCGAGCTCATCTCTTTGAGCCAGGTTCCCAGTTTCGGCGAACCGCTCAAATCAGGCGAGCTTAACAGTTGAGGCGAGCTCATCTCTTTGAGCCAGGTTCCCAGTTTCGGCGAACCGCTCAAATCAGGCGAGCTTAACAGTTGAGGCGAGCTCATCTCTTTGAGCCAGGTTCCCAGTTTCGGCGAACCGCTCAAATCAGGCGAGCTTAACAGTTGAGGCGAGCTCATCTCTTTGAGCCAGGTTCCCAGTTTCGGCGAACCGCTCAAATCAGGCGAGCTTAACAGTTGAGGCGAGCTCATCTCTTTGAGCCAGGTTCCCAGTTTCGGCGAACCGCTCAAATCAGGCGAGCTTAACAGTTGAGGCGAGCTCATCTCTTTGAGCCAGGTTCCCAGTTTCGGCGAACCGCTCAAATCAGGCGAGCTTAACAGTTGAGGCGAGCTCATCTCTTTGAGCCAGGTTCCCAGTTTCGGCGAACCGCTCAAATCAGGCGAGCTTAACAGTTGAGGCGAGCTCATCTCTTTGAGCCAGGTTCCCAGTTTCGGCGAACCGCTCAAATCAGGCGAGCTTAACAGTTGAGGCGAGCTCATCTCTTTGAGCCAGGTTCCCAGTTTCGGCGAACCGCTCAAATCAGGCGAGCTTAACAGTTGAGGCGAGCTCATCTCTTTGAGCCAGGTTCCCAGTTTCGGCGAACCGCTCAAATCAGGCGAGCTTAACAGTTGAGGCGAGCTCATCTCTTTGAGCCAGGTTCCCAGTTTCGGCGAACCGCTCAAATCAGGCGAGCTTAACAGTTGAGGCGAGCTCATCTCTTTGAGCCAGGTTCCCAGTTTCGGCGAACCGCTCAAATCAGGCGAGCTTAACAGTTGAGGCGAGCTCATCTCTTTGAGCCAGGTTCCCAGTTTCGGCGAACCGCTCAAATCAGGCGAGCTTAACAGTTGAGGCGAGCTCATCTCTTTGAGCCAGGTTCCCAGTTTCGGCGAACCGCTCAAATCAGGCGAGCTTAACAGTTGAGGCGAGCTCATCTCTTTGAGCCAGGTTCCCAGTTTCGGCGAACCGCTCAAATCAGGCGAGCTTAACAGTTGAGGCGAGCTCATCTCTTTGAGCCAGGTTCCCAGTTTCGGCGAACCGCTCAAATCAGGCGAGCTTAACAGTTGAGGCGAGCTCATCTCTTTGAGCCAGGTTCCCAGTTTCGGCGAACCGCTCAAATCAGGCGAGCTTAACAGTTGAGGCGAGCTCATCTCTTTGAGCCAGGTTCCCAGTTTCGGCGAACCGCTCAAATCAGGCGAGCTTAACAGTTGAGGCGAGCTCATCTCTTTGAGCCAGGTTCCCAGTTTCGGCGAACCGCTCAAATCAGGCGAGCTTAACAGTTGAGGCGAGCTCATCTCTTTGAGCCAGGTTCCCAGTTTCGGCGAACCGCTCAAATCAGGCGAGCTTAACAGTTGAGGCGAGCTCATCTCTTTGAGCCAGGTTCCCAGTTTCGGCGAACCGCTCAAATCAGGCGAGCTTAACAGTTGAGGCGAGCTCATCTCTTTGAGCCAGGTTCCCAGTTTCGGCGAACCGCTCAAATCAGGCGAGCTTAACAGTTGAGGCGAGCTCATCTCTTTGAGCCAGGTT